AGAGAGAGAAAAAGAAAGCAATGCCAGGTCCGGGATTCAAACTGCTGTTGGCCATGTAGGAATCCAGTTCCCTTAAGTACTGCACCACCTGCCAGCCCCTGGTACTTTCATTTTTAATGGCAGGTGTAATAGTGATCGTTTTTTACACTCAGAAATTTCACACCACATTTAAGGTTCTTGCAAAATTATGAATCGGATGCTTGGAACTTGATTTATGACAGAAAATGGCCTATCATTTTTCTTTCTTTTTAAGGTTTATTTATTTACTTCTTCCATGAGCGAGACAGATGGAGAGGAGGACAGGGTAGCACCCCTAATGGAATATTGATGCCACAGTCCGTCCCCAGCTTCAGCTAGCCCCAGTTTTTGAGGATACGTGTGCCTGGCATACAACAGGGAGATCTCTGGACATGAACAGAGAATCTTCCCGACTGGGTTAGCCTCTAGGAGCAGTGCGTCTTACTTCATTACCACTGTCTGGCCTCCGTTTGCTTTATTTTTTTTTGAGAGAGATTTTTGCTCTTGGGCACATGTGCTCTCCAGGGAGACAGAAAGTGAGAAATCACTTTGCAGGGGCATAGCCATGCTGCAATCCCTTTTCCATTCTACTCTCAGGGTTTTGGGCACGCACACACAGGCACCTGTCATGAGTTTTAAGCCTCCGGGTCTGGGACTTGAACCGCAGTCGACTATGGGAGTCCAGCGACAGAACCATTATGCCATCGACTGGTCCTTCAGTTGCCTTTCTCACAAGAGTGCCAGGTTTTGATATATTGGCCCAGATCATGCAGTTCCATTTGTTAATCATGTACTTTAGATCTTCTATAGCCTTCCTGATATTTTTCATCCTTTTGTCATGTTCTTTTTTTTTTTTTTTAAATAGAATTATTTTATTTTTATTTATTTATTTATTTATTTATAATTTGACCAGAGAGGGACAGAGAGAGAGAAAGTGAGAAAGCAAGCAAAGCCAGCAGGTCCAGGACTTGAACCGCAGTTGGCCCTATGGGAGTCCAGTGCTCTTAACCACCACGCCACCTGCTGGCCTCCCTGTCATGTTGTTCTAATGGTTGTGAGAGAAATACAGGAGCAGTTTTTGCTTATGAATATAGAACTTTCTGTTTCTTTGAAATCTGTCATTGCACCTGACGTGTTTGTCACGCTGCCAGGTCTAGGACTTGAACTGTGTGGTGTGCCATGTGCAATTACCCATCTACTCTTTGGTAAAGTCTTAAATTCCTTTTTTTAAATTTGCCAGAGTGTGCATGTGCTCAGCGGACACAGAGAGACAGAGAGGGAATGTGAGGAAGCACACCCCAAGGACATGGTGATGCTGCAATCTCTTCCCCCTATCCCTCCCTCCTTCTGGGATTTTGAGCATGCACACAGATGTGCCTGGCATGTTTCTCCAGCCACCTGGTCTGGGTCTCAAACTTCACAGGCAGCTATATAGGATTAAGCTTGACTTTTCTTTGTCATTGTATTTATGTCCTATCTATTTATAACTTTAATTTATTTTAAGTATGTTTAAAATCGCTGACTTTTAGTTTAAACATACATTCTTAAATGGTGAGTCCTTAACTTTAAAAGTTATGTTAAAATACAAAAAGTACTGTATTTAAGCCTTTTTGCTAAGTTCCTTCATAGGCGGCTGTTAATCGGGAGTCATAAACATGGAATGATTTCTTTCTTTTTTTTTTTTTTTTGGTGAGGTTGTTTTTTTTATTTTTCTTCCCTATAGGGTGCGTGCGCTCGCCAGACAGAGAGAGAGAGACATAGAGACAGAAAGTGAGAAATCGGGGGGATGGTCACGCTGCAATCCCTTCTCCTCCATTCTCCTCTCGGGATCTTGGGGACGCATGCACACGTACCCGGCGTGAGTTTTAAGTCACTGGGTCCGGGATGTGAACCAGGGTCGACTATGTGGGAGTCCAGCGACATAGCCATTACGCTAACTGCTGGTTCCCAAACATGGAATGATTTCTTTGGGGAAAGAAGGGACTACACAGTGACAAATTAGGTGTCGGTATAATTCCGACAGACATATCATCACCCGTTCAAATACCATTGACCGCACTGGGTCAGTGTTTTATAAAATCAGAGGATTTTTTCCAACAAAATCTTTTGGTTTAATTGCTTCCTTCTCCTTCAATTCTCTTATGACCCTTTCAAATCTCAACCTATATTCTGAACAGAATACTCAGACTGCACATACTCTTGGCTATAGTACAGGGTACACTTGTTAACAAACAAACTGTGTCACCTACTTTTTTTTCTACCTATTCATAATTTTGCATAACAGTTGTGGTCATTTTTAGTTTCTCATTATAATTCATATTTTAAAAAATCTAGCCCTCATGATACGTAGTTTTTTTTGTTTGTTTTGTGAAGTAAGGTACTTTTCCATTTGAGTATCAGATCTCCTAAACTTTATACATCGTAACACCTTTTTTTTTTTCTTCTTTTTTTTGGGAGAGGTTTTCGCTATAGGGTGCGTGTGCTCGCCAGAAAGACAGAGAGAGACAGAGAAATAGAAAGTGAGAAATCACCCCCCCAGGGGAGATGGCCATACTGCAGTCCCTTCTCCTCCATTCTCCTCTTGGGATCTTTGGCACGCAGACACACACGCCCGGTGTGATTTCAAGCCGACGGATCCAGGACTTGAAGCGTGGTCTACAACATGGGAGTCCAGCGACATAGCCATTACACTAACTGCTGGTCCCTTTTTTTCTCAAACTGATTCTGTTGCTCTGCTTTCTTCAAGTAGGGATTCCCATCTCATCAGGTCATAAATAATTTGTTTAGATTTAAAAACCTATATTGGACTTAGGAACATAAGATATTAATTTGGTATACTAGTTATATGCACATGAATGAATTTAGATGTATTAGAATAAAACACCTGAAGTCAATGAAATATATAAGGAATGAAGAACACCCTGAATTTTAGATTTTCTGGCTTACATATGTTTTACTCAATATAATTCGATAATCCAGGGTTTTTTGTTGCCTCAGAGTAATATCGTTAAGATCAAGTACTACTGTTAGGATGGTAGTTATAGCTGTGTTAAATTTATGAAGTGGGAAGAATCTATATTGATCTTAATAGTAGTTATGAATAAATGTCTCAGCCCAATTCATTTTTTTTTAGGTCTGTGTCTTTCTTTGCACTTTTACTTAAATTGAGTTTATGAAAATTTTCTTTGTTGAGACATTAATTCTATACTTAGTTATATTTAATTAGAGTGTACACATTAACGGGTACTTTAAATTTGTATTGGAAATATTTTTCTCAAGATCATTTTAAAATTAACACTAATTTTACATTATTTTAAGATTATTAATTTATATGTTTAGTGATATCCTATTTTTTGACTAATTTGTGAAAAGTATTCATCGTAGTGTTTTAAATTTTCTGCAGGTCTCCTATATATTATTGAAACACAGAAAGTTCTCTATCTCAAAATTAATTTGAAGGCTTCATATATTATTGTCCCACAAGATGGAATTTTTAGTCCTACATCAAATCTACTTATTTTGGATCTTGGTCATCTAAAGGTATATACTAATAATATTTTGTTGATTATATGGCATTTAAAGTGTTTTTTGTTGTTTAAAATATATATTTTAAAACCGCTTGATTTGATTTATGGGTTTTTGTATTTATGTTGGATTATAGGATCTGAGAAATCTTTCTTTTTGGTAAAGATAGTGAAGTTTTGGGACCGGCAGTTGGCGTAATGGCTATGTCGCTGGACTTCCATGTAGTCGACCGTGGTTCGAGTTCTGGACCCAGTGGCTTAAACTCATGCCGGGCTCCTGTGCATACATGCCCAAGATCCTGAGAGGAGAATGGAGGAGAGGGATTGCGGCATGGCCATCCCCCTGGGGGGTGATTTCTTGCTTTCTGTCTCTTGGTCTGTCTCTGTCTGTTTGGCGAGCACATGTGCCTTATAGCAAAAACTCACTGAAAAAAAAAAAAAAGATAGTGAAGTTTTATTTAATCAGTTAGTATTCTTACATTTCTAAAAGCAAAATGATCAATTGCTCTCTGCTTGTCAGGTGAACCTGAGAATAATACTTATGAATTTGAAAATTATGTTTGAGAAATTAATTTCTCTTTCAATTAATTATTTGGTTAATTAAAGTACAGTCAATTCTTCATAGCTGTGGTTTTCATATGCATGGATTCAGTCATTTATGGATCAAAAATATTTGGAAAAACTACAATGAAAAACAATACATTAAAATAATGCAAATTTAAAAATATATTATAACAGTTGTTTACATAGCACTTACATTGTATGAGATATTATAAGTAATCTAGAAGTGATTTAAAGTTTATGGGAGAATGTGTGTAGATCCCATGCAAATAACTACACATATTGTATAGGGACTTGGGCATCTGCATGTTTTGATTTCCTTGGGAGGTCCTGGAACCAATCCCTTGAGTATATTGAGGGATGACTGTATTTAGAATGGGAGGCAGTTCTGGAAGTAATCAGATGCATCTTCATACTGCTGACATTTTTTTGTGTACATGACTGCAGATATTAACATTGCAATATATATTTTTTTAAACCTTTTTTTAAATTTTTTTTTGCTATAGGGCGCGTGCACTCGCCAGACAGACAGAGACAGAGAGACAGAAAGTGAGAAATCACCTCCCGGGGGGATGGCCACGCCGCAATCCCTTCTTCTCCATTCTCCTCTTGGGATCTTGGGCATGCACGCACACGCGCCCGGCGTGAGTTTTAAGCCACTGGGTCCAGAACTCGAACCACGGTTGACTACATGGGAGTCCAGCGACATAGCCATTACGCTAACTGCTGGTCCCTACATTTCAAGATTTTTTAAAATATTTGTAAATTGAGAAATGGTCTTCTTGTATTTTTTTAAAATTTTATTTATTCATTCATTTATTTTAATTTGACCAGAGAGACAGAGAGAGAGGGAGAGAAAGTGAGAAAGCAAGCCACCAGGTTCAGGACTCGAACTGTGGTCGGCCATGTGGGAGTATCCAGTGCCTTAACCACCATGACACCTGCTGGTCCCCCAAGAAATGGTCTTCTTGTATTTACCTAAGTAACTTTTCTTTTCTTCCAGTTATGCACTTTCCCTCCCCAAGTTATTGGTAGATAATTTTGTTGCTAGTATTTTGAGGTGTATGCCCTTTTATATAGTAGTACCCAGTAAGCCACTGGTGGTTATTTAAATGAATTAAAATGAAATATATTTAAAATTCAGTTTTTAAGTCACATTAGCTCTATTTAAGTCTTTAATAGTCAGAAGTGACTATTGGCTACTAGCACAGATACAGAACATTTCCATTGTCAGTAAAAGTGCTGTTGGGTAGCAGTGTTCTAAATCAGAGGTGGAGAAATAGCAATGATTGAAAGATCTAAGAGAGATGGATAATTAGAATTTTGTTTCTGGCTACCTAATGATATGTGCCTTTCCTTAATATTGATATTCCCCTTATTCTACTCTTTTGATTTTTACTGTGTACTTGTTAATTTTGTTTTTTTTCAGAGAGAGAGATTTTTTGCTAGAGGGTGTGCGCACTCACCGGAGAGATGGAGAGACAGAAAGCGAGAAATCACCCCATAGGGGAAATGACTATGCCACAATTCCTTCTCCTCCCCTCTCCTCTTAGAATTTTAGGCATGCACACACATGCACCCAGTGTGATTTATAAGATGTTGGTCTGGGACTTGAACCACAGTCAGCCATGTGGGAGTCCAAAAATGTAACTAGCCGTTTGCTGGTCCCTGCACTTGTTATTTATGTAGATACCCACAAGGTTTACATTTAACATTTTTATACACATTATTACTCATATTTGAGTTTAGTTATTGAATTGTTTCAAGGGCATTGTAGTTATAGCAGAAAGAGTATACCGTCAGGAGTAAGGGGTCTAATTTTGTAACTTTAGGCAGTTTCTTAACTGGGTGTCTAAAATTCATTACCTAGCAAACAGAGATAATCATGGTTTGACTATCTGTTTTACATGAAGCATACAAAATAAAGGGAAAAAGTATATGTACACAGATGTACATATATTTGAATGAATACCATCTGTATATGTTGCTGTGGAGTGATTTTCAGGATGTTTAAGTGAGAAAGCATTGTACATTATATTGCCATGAAAGAGAGAGACACGAGTGTAACTTGCCCAGAGTCATGTACGTGGAAGAGTTGGGACTAAAATTCAGCTATCCTAATATTTAATCCTAGACTCTTATTATTATAAAGGTATTTAAATAGGAAGGGTTTTCCAGAACTTCACAGAAAAATGTATATTATGAAAAACTATATATAGACTTAAAGAACTTTTTGCACCAAAATAAATGTACTTTAATTCCATTTTTCTACTAACTTTTCAAAGTCCTCACATGTTGATCACTGAGCCATAGATACCTTTTGAAAGGTAAGTATATCTTTAGATCTTGTTTTTAAATGAGAAACAGTTTTTTTGTTTGTTTGTTTTGATAGGTTTTTGCTATTGGGTGTGTGACTCGAACCGTGGTCTGAACATGGGAGTTCAGCGACATAGCCATTACGCTAACTGCTGGTCCCATGATCTTTCTAATGTACATCCATTTTCCCCTATTACATTTTTATATTATAGTTGTGAAAAAATAAAAACTTTATACTTATTCTTTGAAGGTTTTTGCATTTTTCTAAACTATTGAAATTAACTTCAAGGTGACAAGCAAAACTCGCTCAGAATTACCAGATGTCAAACAAGGTGGGGCCAATCTTGAAGAGATAATGCATAGAGCTTATGATTCCTTTGATGTTCAGCTTACAAGCATACAACTGCTTTACAGCAGAGTTGGTAAGTATAAAACACATTCTTTTGTACTTGATTTTGCTTTTTTCCAAAAGTTTGTGTTTTTTTTTTTTTTTTTTTTTTTTAAAGAGGTTTTTGCTATAGGGTGCATGCGCTTGTCAGAAAGACAGGGAGAGACAGAAAGTGAGAAATCACCCCCCCGGGGGGTGGCCACGCCGCAATCCCTTCTCCTCCATTCTCCTCTCAGGATCTGGGGCACACACACACACGTGCCTGGCGTGAATTTAAGCCACTGGGTCTGGGATTCGAACTGCGGTCAACTACATGGGAGTTCAGCAACATAGCCATTATGCTAACTGCTGGTCCCAAGATGACTAGTTAGGTTTTTAGACACTTGTCTAAAATGGTCTTCTTGTATTTACCTAAGTAACTTTTCTTTTCTTCCAGTTATGCACTTTCCCTCCCCAAGTTATTGGTAGATAATTTTGTTGCTAGTATTTTGAGGTGTATGCCCTTTTATATAGTAGTACCCAGTAAGCCACTGGTGGTTATTTAAATGAATTAAAATGAAATATATTTAAAATTCAGTTTTTAAGTCACATTAGCTCTATTTAAGTCTTTAATAGTCAGAAGTGACTATTGGCTACTAGCACAGATACAGAACATTTCCATTGTCAGTAAAAGTGCTGTTGGGTAGCAGTGTTCTAAATCAGAGGTGGAGAAATAGCAATGATTGAAAGATCTAAGAGAGATGGATAATTAGAATTTTGTTTCTGGCTACCTAATGATATGTGCCTTTCCTTAATATTGATATTCCCCTTATTCTACTCTTTTGATTTTTACTGTGTACTTGTTAATTTTGTTTTTTTTCAGAGAGAGAGATTTTTTGCTAGAGGGTGTGCGCACTCACCGGAGAGATGGAGAGACAGAAAGCGAGAAATCACCCCATAGGGGAAATGACTATGCCACAATTCCTTCTCCTCCCCTCTCCTCTTAGAATTTTAGGCATGCACACACATGCACCCAGTGTGATTTATAAGATGTTGGTCTGGGACTTGAACCACAGTCAGCCATGTGGGAGTCCAAAAATGTAACTAGCCGTTTGCTGGTCCCTGCACTTGTTATTTATGTAGATACCCACAAGGTTTACATTTAACATTTTTATACACATTATTACTCATATTTGAGTTTAGTTATTGAATTGTTTCAAGGGCATTGTAGTTATAGCAGAAAGAGTATACCGTCAGGAGTAAGGGGTCTAATTTTGTAACTTTAGGCAGTTTCTTAACTGGGTGTCTAAAATTCATTACCTAGCAAACAGAGATAATCATGGTTTGACTATCTGTTTTACATGAAGCATACAAAATAAAGGGAAAAAGTATATGTACACAGATGTACATATATTTGAATGAATACCATCTGTATATGTTGCTGTGGAGTGATTTTCAGGATGTTTAAGTGAGAAAGCATTGTACATTATATTGCCATGAAAGAGAGAGACACGAGTGTAACTTGCCCAGAGTCATGTACGTGGAAGAGTTGGGACTAAAATTCAGCTATCCTAATATTTAATCCTAGACTCTTATTATTATAAAGGTATTTAAATAGGAAGGGTTTTCCAGAACTTCACAGAAAAATGTATATTATGAAAAACTATATATAGACTTAAAGAACTTTTTGCACCAAAATAAATGTACTTTAATTCCATTTTTCTACTAACTTTTCAAAGTCCTCACATGTTGATCACTGAGCCATAGATACCTTTTGAAAGGTAAGTATATCTTTAGATCTTGTTTTTAAATGAGAAACAGTTTTTTTGTTTGTTTGTTTTGATAGGTTTTTGCTATTGGGTGTGTGACTCGAACCGTGGTCTGAACATGGGAGTTCAGCGACATAGCCATTACGCTAACTGCTGGTCCCATGATCTTTCTAATGTACATCCATTTTCCCCTATTACATTTTTATATTATAGTTGTGAAAAAATAAAAACTTTATACTTATTCTTTGAAGGTTTTTGCATTTTTCTAAACTATTGAAATTAACTTCAAGGTGACAAGCAAAACTCGCTCAGAATTACCAGATGTCAAACAAGGTGGGGCCAATCTTGAAGAGATAATGCATAGAGCTTATGATTCCTTTGATGTTCAGCTTACAAGCATACAACTGCTTTACAGCAGAGTTGGTAAGTATAAAACACATTCTTTTGTACTTGATTTTGCCAAGATGACTAGGTTTTTTTTTTTTTTTTTTAGTTTGTGTTTTTTTTTTTTTTTTTTTTTTTTAAAGAGGTTTTTGCTATAGGGTGCATGCGCTTGTCAGAAAGACAGGGAGAGACAGAAAGTGAGAAATCACCCCCCCGGGGGGTGGCCACGCCGCAATCCCTTCTCCTCCATTCTCCTCTCAGGATCTGGGGCACACACACACACGTGCCTGGCGTGAATTTAAGCCACTGGGTCTGGGATTCGAACTGCGGTCAACTACATGGGAGTTCAGCAACATAGCCATTATGCTAACTGCTGGTCCCAAGATGACTAGTTAGGTTTTTAGACACTTGTCTAATGATCTTCTTCCTAAATGTGTTCAAACTTTGATAGTTTTAAATTAGACGTGATAGTAAATAATGCCTAGTTTCTCAGCCAGGCACAGTTTTGCCCCCTAAGAGATATTTGTTAATTTCTTTTTTACAAATAATTGTTTTCAAGAATTATTTTATTTAACTTTATTTATTTTAATTTGACCAGAGAGGGACTGTATGTGTGTGTGTGTGTGTGCGTGTGTGTGTATGTGTATGTGTGTATGTGTGAGAGAGAGAGAGAGAGAGAGAGGGAAAGTGAGGAAGCAAGCTGCCATATCCGGAAGTTGGGAGTCCAGCACCCTTAACCACCATGCCACCTGCAGGCCCCGATACTTGTCAATTTCTGGGAACATTTCTCATTGACACAGTTAGGGGATGGGAGCATTACTAGTGTATCTAGTGGGTAAAGGTTAAACATCCTACAATATACAAGTCAGCCTTCCACAACAAAGACTTATCTGGCCTAAGTGTGAGTAGTACTGAAGTTAAGAAATCCTGATCTATATCAGTGTTTTCCGACCTTTGGCCATAGGTTGACACTTACTGAAAGTGATAGTTATGTTACACAGTTGGATAATCAGAGAAACAGAGAAAGCTGTTTGAGGCCAGAGGCTCTCTTATCACGAAGCTCTGTGCAGCCACATAAAGACTGAGGAGGGTCACTGTCATCCCTAACCATACTTTTATCCCATTCATTGTGGTGTACCCAACAGGGGTCTCTGATTCTGATCTAATTTTTAATTTAAAGACACAGCCAGAAATCGACTTAATAGGACCCACTAAAGTATATGTGCCGTATAATTACGTTTTGGTCAATGATGAAGCACATGTACAGTGGTGGTCCCACAAGATTGTAACAGGTTATAACATATCTAACCTTGTGTAAGTGCACTGTGTGTTCGCACAACAGCGAAATGGCCTGGTAACACATTTCTCAGATCCTGTTGCCATTGTTAAATGATGTATGAGAGAACTCAGACTCCTACAACTCTCTGTTCTGCCATACTGCTCCGGAATCCCTAGCATATCAGTGAACATTCAGATAATTCAAGAGTTTAGGGTTTCACAGATCCATGTGAGTGTGTGACCAAATTTTAATCATGTAGGTTAGCTGATAAAAGGAGAAGGAATGAGAATCCGAAGTACTCATTATGAAGTTTCTTAGTTTATATAGGACTAGAACATTTTAATTTTATTTCTTTAATTACATTTGCTTTAGGATAATGAACTTAGTTACTGTTTTGATCATATTTTGGTTGTGGAAGGAGCCCAGAAGTGTGGTGAATAGCAAAAGTAAATTGTGTTCAGAGGCCCTTAAGGTTTTTTTTCAGAGAATAAATTATAGTCTCACATTTTGATATATTTGACTGATATAGTTTGGTCACAACTTTTCAAAGTTTCTGAATTATACTTAATTATTTAAGATACTGAGATTTAAAAATACTTAAAATTGTATTGTTATTGTCTGAAGAATATTAGAATTTCTTGGAATTGTTTTTGATAAGCATTAATTGTTATTCAGTTTTCAGTCACACTTATTTTGCTATAGGGCACGTGCGCTCGCCAGACAGACAGACAGAGACAGAGAGACAGAAAGCGAGAAATCACCCCCCAGGGGGGATGGCCATGCCGCAATCCCTTCTCTATTCTCCTCTTGGTATCTTGGGCACGCACGCACACGCACCCGGCATGAGTTTAAGCCACTGGGTCTGGGACTCGAACTGCGGTCGACTACGTGGGAGTCCAGTGACATAGCCATTATGCTAACTGCAGGTCCCGACTTATTTTGATATTGTCCAAAGAATTTTATTTTTTAATCTATAAAATGAAGAGTGAAGATTTTCATTTATCTCAGTACTGGTAGAGTTATAAAATTTTATGTAATACCTATTTTATCACTTATGTCTAAGAGTCTGATGTTTCCATGGCTTTGTTTTTCTTGACTGGGAGCTTTTTTAAAACCTTTTGAAAAATAATTTTAAAAATTTAACTTTATTTATTATTATTTTAATTTGACCAGAGAGCAGCCGAGAGAGAGCGAGAGAGGGAAAGTGAGAAAGCAAGCTGCCAGATCTGGGACTTGAACCACAGTCGACCATGTGGGAATCCAGCACCCTTCACCACCATGCCACCTGCTGGCCCCTCTTGACTGAGATTTTATCTGACTCTAGTACATTATTAGGTTCAAATGAGATAACCTATATGTAAATGTATTGTGCTGTACAGGTCCCATTAATGTTGCTACAATTTTTCCCCCCAATTTACCAGAGGGTGCATGTGCTGATCAAAGGCAGAGAGAGGGAACAAGCACCCACCAGTGGGATATGGTCATGCTGCAATCCCTTTTCCATTTCTCCAGCCTGTCAGGATTTGGAACATCCATACACATGTACCCATCATGTTTTTAAGCCTCTGGGGCCAGGATTTGAACTGCATGGTTGACTAGGTGGAATCCAGGCTATGAGCTGGCCCAATCTCACTCTAAATTTGGAAAATTATTTCTTTCCAATTATAAATATACCTATTTTAGAAAATCTGGGCAGTTTAGAAAAACAAAAATATATGTTCTTTCATTTTACTGCTCAGACATAACACTGTTGATATCTTGGTGTATATTTTAGTGATTTTTCAGTGTCTGTGCCTATGAATATTTCAGTATTTGGGATATGCTTGCATGGTATTTGTAGAGATATTTGTGAGTGCAGGTTTTTTTTTTTTTTTTTGTAGTTGTTAAGAGATTTTTGCTATAGAGCATACGTGCTTGCCAGAGAGACAGAGAGACAGAAATTGAGAAATCCCTGGATGGCCACACCACAATCCCGTCTCCTCCATTCTCCTCCTGAGATTTTAGGCATGCATGCACATGTGCCTAGTGTGAGGTTTAAGCCACCAAGTCTGGGACTTGAACCACGGTTGACCATGTCGGAGTCCAGCAGTGTAACCATTATGCCATCTGCTGGTCCAGTTAATGCAGGTTTTTATAAAACATTTATATAGTTTTAAAATTTTATTTTTTATTTTTATTTATTTATTGTAGTTTTCCATAGGGTGCATGACCTTACCAGAAAGAGAGAGAGAGAGAAAGAGAGAGAGAGAGAGAAAGCATCCCTTTGAGGCCTGGTTATTCCTCAGTCCTTTCTCCTCCATCTATTCCTTATTTTGGGATTTTGGGTAAACTCACACATTTACCCACTGTATTTCTCAAGCTACTGGGTCTTGGACTCGAACAGCAGAGTTGGCCATGTGCAGTCCCGCCAACTTAACCACCAGGCCATGAGATGGCTTGATTTATATAGTTTTATATCCAGGTTTTATTTTATTTATTTATTTATATTATCAGAGGCCATGCACTTAACAGAGAGAGAAAGAGGGAGAGAGGGAGAAAGAGATAGTGAGCACACACACACACACACACACACACACACACACACGCACACACGCACACACACTGCCCCAGTGAGTCATGAACATGCTGTAGTCCTTTATTCTCCATTTCTCCATCCTGTCAGGAGTTGGGGCATGCATTACACATGTCCTGGTGTGTTTTTCAAGCCACAGGAGCCAAAATTCGAGCGGTAGTTGGCCATGTGCAGTCTGGCTTCCAATGCACAGTGCTTACCCACTGCACTATGGGACTGACCTTATCCAGATTGTTCTTTCACTCACTAGTAACAGTTTGGGCACTGAATTCATGACTTTTGTTTTTGTTTTTAAGTAGTTATTTTATTTAACTTTATTTATGTATTTATTTATTTTAATTTAACCAGAGAGAGAGAGAAAGCGAGAAAGCAAGCTGCTAGGTCCAGGACTTGAACCGTGATTGGCCACATGGGAGGCCAGCACTCTTAACCACCATGCCACCTTCATGCCCTGAATTCATGACTTTTATTGGCTATATTACGTTCTCAGACTGTTAGGTTATTTACTTAACTGTAACCTTATTGGACATGTAGGCTTGTTCCAAGTGAATGTCGCAAGAGGGTCACTTTTTAGTAGACCTGGGTGTGATTTTCAGCTTTATCACTAACATATTGGCCATAGGCAAGTTATAAAATTATATTGAGTCTCAGTTTTCTAAAATGGGAAGATGATACATCGTTGTGAGAAGTTTAAACATTGCCTAGAATTGTACCAGTTACAAATCTCAAATGATTAGTAGCTTTTGTTACTATTAAAGAATCTCACTTTCTCCTACCTTTTCCATTGTTGCCTTATAGTCATGTTGCTTTTTGGGTAAGATGATGTGGTTGTTAATGTGTGCATAGTAGATTTGATTAAAACTATGTTTTTTTCAATAAGCATTTTTTACTCCTAAAATGTAGGGTGTTGGGAAACAGCAGAAAGAAAATGATGAAATCATGGGAAAAGAATTTACTTGTTGATTGTGTATATGTGGAAATGTGACAGTAAGATTATCTGGATGTGAGATTTCCCCCAGCATGCAGTGTGTGACTATGAAATATTAATTTTAAATTTTTTGTGTCATTTAAGTTATAATGTTAAAAATGAACTGTTTTCTGTAATTAGGTGATAATTGGAAAGAAGCACGAAAACTCAATGTTTCCACACAGCATATTTTGGTACCCATGCACTTCAACGTGGAACTGTCAAAGGCCATGGTTTCCATGGATTTAAGGATGCCTAAGTATGTATTATCCGCTGCATGTGATTGGAAGTTTCTCTGGTAATTTATTAGCTAAGGAAATATCACTCTTTACTGACTTTTTTAATGGTAAAATATATGAGATTTATCATTTTGACTGTTTTTAAGCATGCAGTTCAATGGCATTAAGTGTATTTTTACTGTTATGCAACATCACCACCATTCATCTCGAGAACTTTTTCATCTTCTAAGCTAAAACACTGGGTGTATAAAAACTAAAGAGGACATCTATTCTGCCTTGCCTGCTGTCCCTGGCAACCACCATGCTATAATCTTATCTCCATACCTTTGACTAATCTAGGTACTTCATATAAGTTTGCTAGCTAATAGATAATATTTGTACTTTTTTGTCTGGGTTAATTTGCTTAGCATAATAATGTCTGTAAGGTTCATTCGTGCTGTCACGTATGTCAGAATTTCATTGATTTGTAGCGCTGAATTAGATTCTTTGTATGTACAGTACATGTTTTATCTACCTGTCCATCAGTGGACATTTGTGGTGGTGTTATACCATTAGTCTTTTGTTAATTATGCTGTTATGTGGGGTCAGCAGGTAGCGTTAAGGCTGTGAGCACCCACATGGTCGACTGTCCTTCCAGGCCTGGACCTGGTGGTTTGCGTTCTCATTTTCCCTCTCTCTCTCTTTCTGTTTCCAGTGAGTATGTGTGTCCTATAGCAAATTGAATAATAAAAAATAACTCTTAAAAAAAAACAGTGCTGCTATGTACAAATATCTTTTCAAGTTCTGCTTTCATTTTTTTGGTACATATACTTAGAACTCCTGAATCATATAGTAATTCATTGTTGAAGTTTTGAACAATACTGTACTTTTTCATAGCAGTTGCACTGTTTTAAATTCCTACCAGTGATATACAAAGATTCTGATTTCTCCATCTTCTAACACTTGTTTTCTGTTTTTATTTTTTGGGAGGAATAGTCATCCTAATAGATGTGAAGTGTTATCTCATGTAACTTTGATTTGCATTTCTCTGATTTTTAGTGATGTTAAACATCTGTTCATGTGATTTTTGGCCATTTATATATTTCTTTAGACAAAATTGTGTTCATATTCTTTGCCCATTTTATAATCTGTTGATATTTTAAAAAATTATTGAGTTGTAGGAGTTCTTTATACAATACAGATTTTCTTTTAGAGTGAGATTTTTTGCTATAGGGCATGTGTGCTTGCTGGGTACACCCAGAGAGACAAAAAGAAATCGAGAAATCACCCCCCTGAGGGGATGGTCATGCTGCAATCCCTTCTCCTCTATTCTTCTCTCAGGATCTTGAACACACACATGTCTGGTGTGAGTCTGAAGCTGCCAGGATCAGGATTCAAACTGTGGTTGGCTCTGTGGGAATCAAAGCAATGTAACCATTATGCCATCTGCTGGTCCCAATATATATTATAGATAATAGCTCTTTATCAGATAAATGATTTGCAAATACGTTCTTTTATTTTGTGGGCTGCCTATCACCCCATTGATAGTGTTTTTTGATATATAAAAACTTTTCTCTTGTGTTTATTAGCTCTTATGTTTAGGTCTTCGATTATTTTAGTTAATTTTTTAGGGTAAGAATCCACCTGCATTTTTTTGCATGAAAATATTTACTTTTCCTAAACTATTTATTGAAAAGACTGTTCTTTCCCCCTTGAATGGTCATGGGGCACTTATCAAAAAATCATTTGATCACATATGCAAAAGGATTTTCCTAGGTTCTTTGTTCTATTCCTTTGGTCTTTATCTCTAGGAATTTGTTTCATTTATATTATCCAAATTGTTGGCATAAAATTATTCTTAGTACTCTTATCATCCTTTTTTTCTATAAACATTTAAATTGAATCTTTTCCTCCTTCAATCAAGTTAAAGAGTCATCAGTTTTGCTGATATTTTTTGAAGAACCATCTCTTGATTTTATTGATTTTTCTGTGTTGTATTTTATTTATCTTTGCTGTACCCTCTAACATTTTTTAATTTCTGCTAGCTTTTGTTTTCATTTGCTGTTCTTTTTCTAGTCTATGAAACTATAAAGTTTGAGGTCTTTCCTTCATTTTTAATGATAGGTATTTGTGGTGACACACTTTCCTCTTGGCAGATTTTCACTATATTCCAAAAATTTTGGCAGGTTGTGTCTTTGTCTCATATTTTCTGGTTTCTTTTGTGAGTCTTTTTGATCATTGCTTGTTTAACTCTATATGTTTTTATTTCCATGTAGTTGTGAGTTTTTCATTTTTCCCTTTACTGTTGTTTTCTAGACTCATTCCATTCTTTTTTTTTGAATTATTTAATTTTATTTATTATTTTTAAATTTGCTATAGTGCATGTGTACTCATGGGAGAGAGAGAGAGCAAGAGAGAAAGCCAGTTGCCAGGTCTGGGACTTGAACTGTGGTTGGCCATGTGGGAATTCAGTGTCTTAACCACAATGCCACTTGCTGGTCCCAACTCATTTCATTTTTATCAGAAAAGATACTTTCTACTATTTCAATTTCTTAAAACTTTGTAATGCTTGTTTTATGACTTAAGATATACTGTATCCCAGAGACTTTTTCCATATATACTTGAGAAAAATGTCTACTCACCTGTCTGTTGATTCCAATTGGCTAATAATATTGTTTTAGTTCTGTTTCTTTACTGATCTTTTGTATATGCTTGTTTTATTCATTATTTAAAATAAGGTATTGAAGTCTACCCTTAATATAGAGCTATCTGTTTCTTCCCTTTAATTCTGTTAATGTTTATTTCATATATTTTTTGAGCTATCATACTTTTTAAAAAGAATTATTATATTTATTTATTAGTATTATTATTCAATTTGACTAGAGAAAGACAGAGACAGAGAGAAATAGAGTGAGAAAGCAAGCCACCAAGTCGGATTTGAACTGTGGTCAGCCATGTGAGAGTTCAGCACCTTTTACCACCATACCGCCTACCGCCCCCAAGCTGTCATGTGTTGTATATATATCATATATGTATATACATACACAAACACATACACACACTTTATTTTTCAAAGAGAGATTTTTGCTCTCGGGCATGTGTGCTTGCTGGAGAGACAGAAAAACAGAGAGGCAGAAAGTGGGAAATCACCCCTCAGGGGTATGGCCATGCCACAGTCCCTTCTTCTTTGGTCTTCTCTAGGGATATTGGGCACATGGGCATAAACGCCCAGTGTGAGTTTGAAGCTGCTGGGTTCGGGACTCGAACCATGGTTTGCCATGAGGGAGTCCAGCAATGTAACCATTACTCCACCTACTGGTCCCTAGAGTATATATTTTTATAATTGTTGCATCTTTTGGCAAATAGAAACTTTTTTTTTAGAGTGATTTTTTGCTATGGGGTGTATGTGCTTTCCCCGGAGAGACAGAGAAAGACAGAAAGTGAGAAATCACCCCCCAGGGAGGATGGCCATGTCACAATCCCTTCTCCTCCATTCTCCTCTTAGCAAATTGAAACTTTTATCATTATTATTATGTAATATCCTTTTTTTTAATCTCATGTAACAGTTTTTGACTTGCAGTCTATTTTGGCTGATATTAAAGCCATCTCCACGCTCTTTCAGTGATTATTTGCATGGAATGTGTTTTTCCATTTCTTTGTTTTTCATCTGTGTGTTATCTTGGATCCAAAGTGAGTCTCTGGGTGATAGCATGAAATTGGATCCTATTTTTTTTTTTTTTTTATTCATATGGTTTGTGTCTTTTGATTTGGGAAGTTTAAAGCATTATATTTAAAGTGAATCTGATAGAGAAGGACTTACTTTTGTCATTTTTGCTTTCTGTTTATCTTATAGCTTTTTTTGTCCCTCATTTTCTTCATATTTATCTTTCCTTGTGTTTAGTTGATTTTTGTTGTGTGTTTTGATTCCCTTCTCATTTCTATTTTTGCATTTTCTATGGGTATTTTCTTGGTGGTTACCATGGACATTACATATAACATTTAAAGTTTTAGTGTTCTATTAGAAATTGACACCCACTGAGCTTCACTTTCATGTAAAAACTCTACTTGCTTTCTGCTCTACCCCTCCAGTTTTTATTGATGTTACAAATTATTTAAAATATTTGTCATCAGGCACATGTACCTAACAGAAAGGGGGGGGGGAAGAGAAAGGGAGAGAGAGAGAGAGAGAGAGAGAAAGAGAGAAAGTCAAAAAGCATCCCCCAGGGGGAAGGGCCACACCACAATCTCTCTAGCCCTTTCTCCTCCATTCTCCTCTCAGGACTTTGGGCACGCACTGGAATGTACCTGGTGATGTTTTAAGCCTCTGGGTCCAGGCCTAGAACTGCATAGTTGGCCATGTTAGATCCAGCTGCCTTAGCCACCATGCCACAGGCTGACCCCACATTATGTCTTTATCCTGAACCCATTAACATAGATTAGTTTTTTTTTTAATACGTTTGTCTTTGAAATCTTGTTAAAAAAAATTGCAGGTAGAGTTAAAAACCAAAAGAGTCATAATAATTGTTATATATTTGTCCTGTATTTGCCACTACTTAGATCTTTATCGCTTATTGTAAATGAAATTAGGAGCCAGGACCTTAAGTGGAGATCCTTGTCAAACAAGATAGGATAGGACCAGCAGTTAGCGTAATGGCTATGTCACTGGACTCCCATGTAGTCGACCGTGGTTCGAGTCCTGGACCCGGTGGCTTAAAAAACTCACACCGGGCGCATGTGCATGCGTGCCCAAGATCCCGAGAGGAGAATGGAGGAGAAGGGATTGCGGCGTGGCCATCCCCGCTGGGGGGGTGATTTCTCGCTTTCTGTCTCTCTGTCTCTGTGTGTGAGCACACGCGCCCTATGGCAAAAACCTCTCCAAAAAATAAAAAACAAAACTAGATAGGACCATTTCGCTGATTACTTTCTAAGCAGTTTTAGACTATAGGTAGGCCTTGCATTTCTTTCTACTAGCACCTTTTTTCTCTCTGGCAAACATGCAGATCTCAACAACAGATCTTAAATTTATTTTTTTTAAGAGATATTTTTGCAGTAGGGTGTGCGTGCTTCCCAGAGAGTCAAAGAGAGACAGACAGAAAGCAAGAAATCTCTTAGAAAATCAAAGTATGCTCTAAAAGTCTTTTTGAGAGGTTTTTGCTATAGAGCTTATATGCTTGCCAGAAAGACAGAGAGAGACAGAGAGATAGCGAAAAATCACCCCCCCCCAGAGGGGATGGCCATGCCACAATCCCTTCTCCTCCATTCTCCTCTCGGGATCTTGGGCACGCACGAACACTCACCCTGCATGGGTTTAAGCTACCGGGTAGAACTGCAATTGACTACATGGGAGTGACGTAGCCAGGAGTCCAGTGACATAGCCATTAAGCCACCAGCTGGTCCCGCTCTAAAAGTCTTAAGGT